AAGTAGAAGATAGGGACCTTAAAACCCAGTTGAGAAGACAAAACTTCATATGGGAAACAACATTGAGTAAATAGAAGGTTGTGTATAAGCAAACATTAAATTATATGGTATAGTTGGGAAGGAACAGTCTGAGCTATAGTCCCTAAATAAACTTTTGTTTGAGGGATAAGTGGTGTATCTATAAACTGTTCCCAGAAGATTTTCCTGGTGCTCCCACTAATGAACATTTAATAAGTCTGAGATCCTATGTTTTAGGTTCCCATATCCTTCTCAGTCAGTTTTAGGTATAAGTGGCCATATTTATGTAACTTCTCCATGGAGCCTGCAAGGCCCAGAATGTGCTACCACATAAGCCTGCTCTGTTTCATGAACAATACTAGTGGATAACTAAAGCATGAGCCACAGAAATTGCATGGAGCTAGACTGCCAGCCCTGAGGAAGAAAGTCTCAAGGGAGGAAGGGACACTTTGAACTTAGTATAGGAGTAGGAACTTTGAAGCCAGGTTTAACTTAAGTTGTTGACCTGCCTGTATTGTGCTATTTGTATCACTGGTTACCGCTTTACGGGTTGTCTCTGGCTGCCCGATCTGCCTGCCTAGGCAGCTTTTGCTGTTTCATACACAATTCTAATCCAGGCAACAGTGCTAAAATCATATTACTCTAACTTGGTATGTAAAAAATCGGTCAACTCTTTTATCAAGATTTCTTGCCTCTGGGTGTATGTTTTACTGTGTGTATTTTCACCAAAAATAACATATTAGGGGAAAAAAAAAAAAGATTTCTTGTCTCCCCCACCCCTTATGTAATATTTCCAATTCACTGATAATGATTATCAGACAGGAATTAATTTGGAAGAAATGTAGGAATATGGGATTCAGTTTTTCAGGGAACAGTTTTTAGAGTTCTTGATGAAGCAGGTAGGTATATCTGTGGATTCAGTTTTCGTTGAAACATTGTTCTGTTGTTTCGTAGAGGTGCTTGCTGAAGGATCCCCACGTCCCCTGTCTTCAGTGCCCGATGTGACACATCACTTGGTGACCATGCAGTCAGGGAGGCAGTCATATGAGGTTTCTGTCTTAACTGCAGTAAATCCACAAGAGGTAAACTATCTCTTGCCCTTAGTTTATGTGGAGACAAATGTGGAAAGTATTTACGAATCTAGTTTCGAGGATCGGAAAAGAAAAAATGTTCTCCAGTTTCCATTTCCTGGAAACTTTGACTAGAATGTCTCGTTTTAAGCTGAGTCCAATTTTGAAGGGAATCTGAGTGTTGGGTGTCCCCTGAATTGGGAGATGTGGTCAATCACAGATGTTCCTTTATATACACTCTTTAATGATGGGTATCTGCCCCCACTGTTCTCAGCCTCACTATGAGATGTGGATGCTGCTTATATTTTATAAAGAAAATAGCATCCAGGGATGGAGTGATCACTGGGCAAAAAAAAAAAAAAAAAATAGTGCTAAAATCATTAAAATAATATTTAGTCTGCTAGGGTCGTGTGTCTAGGGGATAGCAGGGTGAACCAGCTTGGCATATAGAAATGTATTGAGTTGCTTATTGAAAAGCAACCCTCATCTACATCAAAGAAGGGTTTTAAGTTGATTCCAAGTACCCCCAACTATGGTCCTGGCTTTTTGACCCAGAAAACAGAATGAAAACCAGTCAGGCTTCTGGAATCTTAGGATATTTTATTGGCCTTGTGACACTCAGTGGTGGCATGGGGTGGATGACTTCATCACTCATTTTATATGCATAGTAGGCTTTTGCCAAAACCTATGTAACTTGTATCCCTTCAGCATTACAGTATCTTTCAGTCTTCTATCTTTGTCCCATTCACTTTTATTATAAACTTCATACCATAATAAGCTGCTATAGCATTTAAATTATCCAGATCCTGTATTGAATATTCTCAGTTATTCTATAAAATCCCTGGGGTTATCCAGGATCAGAGGGCTCTGGGCATGCATGTTAATATTTCTGCCAGAACCTTTCCTTGTATTCAGCTTTGCAACCCATTGGCTAAGCCTTGCTTGTATTATATTGAAAATTTTTTGCTATTGGTATCACCTTCTTGTGGTTACTGCTTTGAATTAATCATGGAGGCATCCTCTTTTTCCTGTATTTCTCCCCTCTTCATTCATCTAGTTTAAATTTTTTATTATGGAGATTTTCAAGGAGTATAGCAAGAGAGAGAATAGTATAATGAACCCCATGTACCTATTACCCAACTGTGACAATTAACTTTCTACTATTCTTACTTACTCTTCTCTCCTACTTTTTTGTTGTGGCTCTTTTGCTTGTGCTTGTGTATTTTAAGGCAAATCTCAGACATATTGTTTCATCTGTAAATATTTCAATATATACCTCTAACAGCCTGCTTGTCCGTTTTTCCATTCTCACCTGTTCTGTAATACTTTTGGACTCAGGCAGACATGGCTCTAGCAGCATGCTTATCCATTTTCCCACTTTTCTCTGTTCTGTGATATTTCCTTGGACTCGGGCAGACATGGCTCTGGCAGCATGGTTGTCCGATTCCCACTTCTGCCCTTTTGCATATACGCCGAATAAAACTTTCTTTTGGCTTTAAAAAAAAAATATATATATATATACACACACACACACACCTCTAACAAATAAAGAATTTTTTTATAACTATAATAGCTTTCTGTACTCAACAAAATTAGTAATTTATTGATATCATCTAATACACAGTCTGTGTTTTTTGTTTTGTTTTTTTTTCTCAAAAATATCTTTTTATGGTTGATTTGTTTGGATTAGGATCAAACAAGGCCCATACATTGCATTGGGTTAATATTTTTCTTAATCTATAGTAGTCCTCCTCTCTTGTTTTCAGGATAGTTATCTGTTTAAGGAGCTGGGGTATTTGCCCTATAGAATTTCCCACGTTCTCATTTTAACTGGTTGATTCTTGTTTAACATATTTTTCAACCCACCAAATTTCCTAAAATAGCCTTCTTTTCCTGTTTCTTTCTCCTACTTGAGCCTTCAGCCTGTGCATTTACTGACTTATTTATTTTTGGTTCTACCATTTCTGATATCCCCCTGGAAATTATAGTTTTCTCCAACACTGACTGTAAGTGACTAGTTTTCTTCTTTCTTTCCCATCAAACAGAATCTGAGGTACCATCTTTTGACTTGGTGTCTTTGCTCTTGAGACTTTAAGCCAGTAGCCTTCTACCAAAAACTGTAGGTCCTCCCACGTCATCCTCATACTTTGAAGGGCCTTTGTAGAGACTGGAGTTGCTTTCAGAAGGCAATTCCCCCTATAGGAATACTTAAGGCTTCACTGCATTAATGTCATGCTGCTCTCTCAGGCCACTAGTCTGGTTAATTTCACCCATTATACAAAAATGTTGCTGGTTAATTCATTATTCAGGACTTGGAAATTATAGGAGAATGTGGAATATACAAACAACAGTTTGGCTTATAAACTCAGGATATTTTCTTGCCATAGTGAAAAAGCTAGCATCATGAAATGGACAAAATGCTGTCCTGAAATACTGAGCTCTATTAGTGTGTGCATTTATCTCTTGCTTTGGAACTAGATATCCTTGATTTACCCTTGCAGTGCAATCCCCACCTCTCTTAATTCTTTTACTTAGTGTGAATTCTTTTTCCTATAATTCAATTGTAACATCTTCTAGATTTTTTTTTTTTAAATCTTTTACAGTTACTAAACCAAGGAGATTTAACTGAAAGACGGACATGAGCGTGGGTGCCGACTCCTGGAAGAACAGCTCTGTCTGATCCTAGAGCTCAGACAGTGGGAATACGAAGCTTAAGGCTTACGATCCACTAGAACCAAAATGAATCTGTGAAGGACAAGACCCTGCTTTTGCCTCTGTTCCTCTTCCCTGGCATACAAGTGAATGTAGGAGGGCTTCTCTTCAAACTGCAATCTGATCCAGAGAAGGAACAAAGCAGTGAATATGGGCTGGGTAACTGTACCTACCTCTCATCCCACTGCAAAATTTTGGGATGGACTTCTCCCAAAAGTGAATCTCGTTATGTGTTGGCTGAAGTTTCTCTGACTGTTGAGGGGAGGTTTTCCTTTGAAGAGTTTTCATCCCAGACTCAGCTGTCTTTTCACATGGATGAACTAAGTCCTGCTACCAACCATAAAACTTCACCAGAAAGTTGAGCTTTCAAGATGCCTTGTTGCTTTGGAGAAGGGAGTAAATGTCAGTTCTGTTGTGACATTCTCCCTTTAGCAACCTGAGTATGAGACTCTGCCACTGGGCTGCAAAAAAATAAATTACTTGAATCTTCCCTTGGCCCAAGCTGAGGTTACTATCTTGTCCTGTACACCTTGACTTGGTCACTTTGCTTTCTTCTTTTATGGAATATAGAGTAAGTAGCATGTTAAGAGGGTTTTTTGTTTTAATTTAAAAATCACATGATTAAGAGCTTCAGTTGTTTTCCTTTTAAATAAAACAGCCCAGTGAGTTCTTTGGCTCCTTGTTTTGGACAAAATTTGTTTTCTTAAAAAAGAGATTAATAGCTCAGTCTTTCCTTTTTAGATAGGGCACTGATTTACCCTTAGGATTCCATTTAGGTAAAAATGAGCTCACAAGTCTTGGGAAATGTGATGTGAGTATCTCCGTCTCTGACTAGCAGACCCTGATGATAATAATTGGAGTATCACTCAGTCACCACTGGAAAAAGACTGTGTCTGAGTCTAGACAAATGGCAATAATAACACACAGACTTTTTAATTTTTCTAGAAAGACAGTTTTTAAAAAACACAAGAAAGGCTCTTCTATTAGAGTAGTCAGTCTTGCTATCATACTGTCTCTAAAGCTACTGAGAGTGAATATCTAATTATTACTGATGAGAAGAAAAGAATTCCAAAGATCACCTGCTAGTAGAAAATCATGGCTGTTAGAGACGTTTTAAATTTATTTAAAATGAACTCAATCCCCAGACACAAACACGTGCATCCGCACGCACACACACAAAGTAACACATTCTAAACAGGTAACAGGAATGAATTAACTGGTTTTAAATAAAGTAATTATAGTTCTTAATTCACTAATGACATGCATACTCATCCTGTGCTATGCAGATTGAATTCACAGCAGTTTACTTGTATTCGTAACATGCCAGTTTTGGCTTCCTGCAGCCTTACTTTCATGCTTGAGCAGTGGTTTTCAACCAGGGACAATTTTGCCCCCCAGGGGCTGGCAGGGTAGCAGTGTGTTACTGGTATTTAGTGGGTAGAGGCCAGGATGCTGCTAAACATCCTAAAATGCACAGGAGGACCCCACCCAGCAAAGAATTATTCAGTCCAAAATGTCAGTAGTGCTGAGGTTGAGAAATTCTGTACTAGAGTTGGAAACTTGTTGCCCCCATGGGCTAAATCCAATCTACAGATATGTTTTGTTTTGGCTACACAATATTTCTAAATAATTTAATTAGTTGCCAACGTGTAAATTTTTGACTTCTGTTGAAAACGTGGTTGATCTGGCAATACTGGGCCTGTATTTCAACAGGGTTAATACTCTCCAGTCTCTACTGTCTCCCACTTTCTTACACTCAGCCAACCTGACTCATTTATGTTTCCTGTCTAGCCCCTCTAAAGTGTGAGGCACAAAGCAAGAACCCTTAACTCTGGGCTATGATCCTTCCACCCTGAACTTCTTTTTGAGTTTCTCAAACCATTCTCCAAGAGTAGCCATCCATGACTTAGAAACCCAAGTTTTGCTGCCTTGACTCAACCCCAGGTTAGCTTGCTTAATATTGTTCAAAAGAAGTTATTTAAATATACTGATTAAGCAAGTGATTTGAAATTATCCGGTGATTCAGAAGACAGTTCCTCCAGTTCTTTCTTGAGGCTTGTAGGCTCAAAATCCTGCTGTGGATCCCTGATGCTGAGTTTTGTAATTTCATGGATGCTGCAGAATAAATTAAAGCATTTTGAAATAAAAAAATTAAAGGAACTAATTTTATGTAAGCTCTCAAATAACATTTTCATTATTTTATATGGGGTGTAAAGGTAAATTTCCAGGGGGGAGACTGGGATAGAAGTTAGGAGGGGCCATTAGGATTTAAGAAACAAACCAAATTTGAGAGTAATAGAGATACTGTGCTTTTTTCTGTTTGACTTACAAAATATCAAAATGGGTTATGGAAAAGGTGGTACTAATGAGTTACTTTTAAGAAGTACTAGAAAAAGTTTTAATCATTTTACAAGAAGTCAAAATATGCATGGCTTTTCTTCAGAAGTGAAGTGGAAATAAAAACTTCTGACACATGGCATTGGAACTGGAAAATGATCTGTTTCAATTAAAAGGATCTAAACCTAAGATATACAGTGGTTATATTTTATTCACAACAACTACTCTCCAAGCTCAAGTGTTTTCCTTGGAGATCTCTGGATTAGTATATAAATTAGGATAGTGATCTCAAAATATGGCTGTTCTAAAGGTTTCTCTCAGTGGCATTACCAGGTATGGCAACTTGGCTGTAGAATGATAGCAGCATCTCATTACCTGAGGGAGTCACTGACTTGTGACTTATCCTTCCATCGTACAGCCCAGGTCCTTTGACCCTGGTTCCTCACAAAGTCTTCATCCACTCCAGCCTGCTTCAGGGTGTCTCGATACCTTTGTTCTGCTTCTTTCCTGGCAAGGTCCTGTGGAATGTGAATTAGTCTTCTGTAGCTGTTTTATGAATTACCAGGTTATTCTAAATTATTTGCTTAATCAGTATCCCAACAATACTGCTTCCCTTCCTCTGCCCTCCCCAGCCCTCCAGTGCAACCATTAGTGCTGGGCACAGATTTGCATGAAAATTACTTAGCCTGTTTTCAAACCTTAATGTGAATATGAAGCATCTGTCTACTCATTTGGTAGGTCTCAGAGGGAACAGCAGTTAGTGCATTGCTCATACTCTCCCCAGAAATGCCAACCACTGGTCTAGAAACCACAGTTTGAGAAGGATTTCGATTTTGGGGAGACAAAGTGAGACCCAGATGAAAAAGACTTAAAAATACTTTAAGATTAAATTTTTTTAAGATGTAAAAGCAACCAAACCATCATCAAGACTAAAATATAACAAAGAGAATATAAGCTGCACTAGTAACACTCTGGAGCCCTGGTGGTACAGTGGTTAAGAGCTATGGCTGCTAACCAAAAAGGTCGGTGGTTTGAATCCACCAGCTGCTCCTTGGAAACCCTATGGGGCAGTTCTACTCTGTCCTATAGGGTCAGTATGAGTCGGAATCGACTCGATGGCAATGGGTTAGTAACACTGTAGGAGCCCTGGGGGCGCAGCGGTTAAGAGCTCGGCTGCTACACTATTAATGGAAGGATAGACAGTCTGCGTGTGGGCTAGAAAAAGAAGTACGGTATTTTTGTTTTTTAATTTAAGTGATTAAGAACAAAATCAGAGTACTTTGTATTCTTCCTGAAGTGGTGAAAGATCTGTTGAGATCTGAGGTGAGCTTTCTGGAAACAAATTAACATAAAGAGGAAAGATTAGTATGAGATTTCTAACAATACAAGTTGCTAAGTAAATCCAAGACAGTCCAGTGTGTGTGCGTGTGCACGCACATGCGCACGTACAACAGTAGAGTGGGCCCAGGAAATGCCTAGATAACGCACTGGCTATAAGGTGGGATATATGGCTAGCTAATGCCCAGCAAGTGGAACCAGGTCACTAGGGGACCCCAACTTTTGTCTGAAGCTTGGGAGAGGAGAGGGATCCATAGAGTCTGTTACAGCCCAAAGCTCCCTAGATGGTGGCCTTCCTAGGTTGTTCAGGTAGCTCCTTGGGAGGTCTCAACTGAGTTCAACTTAGCTAAAAGTTTAGAGACCATCGTAAAATTATTCTGCCTATCTGAAAATCACTTAATCTGGAAAGGGCTTTGTGGGATACCTTTAACCCTTAAAGACCTATAAAGGTGCCCCAGCTCTAGAGGCTGGGGAGGCTCAGGGGCACCAGCACTGCTGGAGGCGAGTTGCCTTGCCAGGACTATAAACTATGGCTTCAGAATCAGACTGAATCTTAGTCACATTAGTAAGTTAAAGATATTCTTAAGAACACAGCCAAACTCACTGCATCTTTGGGATCCAGCCCCCACTCTGATTCAAACTGAAAGCTAGATTATACGGAAAACTCTAGGAAGTGAAATAATCTCATATATGCCTTTGAGATCCAGGCTTAGATGAAATCAGTCTAAGCAGTGTTCCCCATTGCGCTACTTATTTGGCAGAAAGATGGAAGCAATAAAACGGGCCCAATTTAGAATCTCAGGGTCTGAAGAAAATGTTCAATACCCAGGTATTAAAATTGTTTCATAACTTCTAACAGCCCTTTCATCCAAGAAAGAAAGAAAATGAATGATGGTTTAGTTTTACCTTGGTAACTTGTTCAAAGAGATAGGGCCTTGTTTGTATTCTCTTCTTCATTTCCTCCAGTTCTTTCTTATACTCTTTTGCTCTCTTTCGGTCATTATTCCTGGAATTAATAAGATTTCTAGAAAGAATTATGTCATTTTCCAATCCAGAGTACCCTTCATTCCACTTAAGCAGAATAACTCCCAGGTATATTGTAAATTCCTAACTGTTCCTGCTAAGGAGCCTTCCCTAATGACTCTGTTTTGCTGTTTTCAAGGCCAATAATCTGTTGGATCCCAGATAGGCACCCCTTTGACACATGGAGGTCACTGACCGGTTCTCTTTCAGCTTTGCTTTGAACACCTCCTCCAGGCTTTTATGGGGATCCAAGGCTTTTGCACGCAAGGTTATGGATTTAGACATTGCTTGGCACTTCTTTTTGTGCATTTCCAACCACTGAGTACTCTCATCTGCTTTGTCCCTTTTTTCAAGTGAACTTCTAAAGGGAAAGAGGCAAAAAAGTAATACAGATGATCAGTCTTAGTAACCTTTGTGGAAAGTTGGTGGTTTCTATGAATAGGGTTGGTAATTTACCATAGCTGGCATTTTCAGAAAGAATGAGATTCTGGGATTCAGTGTACTGGCAGATGAAGCCTTCCCAGCACCCAGGACAGTGATTTCCTACCCCAGAAGAAGTTCACTTACTGAACTGGAAAACATATGAGTTAAAATATCCTTACTTAAATAGCCAAATGCACAGTAGGTCTTTGCCAGACTTCTTGCCTATCAGGAAACAAAGTAATACTAATAGTTAGCATTTGCTGAGCTACCTAACCTGAACCAAGCACATACAGGCACCAAATAAATGCTTTATGTACTTTATCTTGTGTAATCCCCATGCCTGCCGTATGAGGTAAGGACTCTGAGCCCCCTTTTTATAGATGAGGAGATTGAGGCTCAGAGAGGGTAAGTCACTTGCTCAAAGCTACATAGCATTGCCAGTTGGAAAGCCAGAGGTAGAACCAGGATCTCTGCCTCCCAAGCCTCTATCCTTGACCACTGTTTCATAAATGGTGGGCTGGATGGTGCCAGGGTTTATAGTCCTTTGGGAATACAAAATCAGCTTTCCAAAGAGAACTGGAAATGAGGCCTTCCTCAGTGCAGACAAATTGGGGTCAACTTGCAGCACTTAGCAAGTTTATATAAACATCACTCCACAAGGTACTATGGAGAGTTCCACTAAAGGAAAAAACAATCAAGACTTGCATTTAGATGTTTACATTCAAATGGACAGGTTAGGAAGGAGGACATGAAAGTTTCATCTGCTAATATATCACATTCCCTATTACTGGAAGGCAGATGTGGACATCTTCTAAAAGTGACCCAGCCTCCTGTTCATGGGGCCAAGCTTACTGGGACCTCCTGACTTAGTTGTTGTAACTATGAAATTTGAGGAAGAAGGAAGTATCCCTTGGATTCTAAACTGATTTCTAAAATCCCTGTTGTAGGTCTTAAGGAGCCAAGCAGTAGGTTCAGTGTACTCCTCTGTCAGCCCCACAGGAAAGACTAAGATGTCAGGCTTGTCCCGGAGCTAAACGGCTCCATGACCTCTCTGCTCACTTCAGCTCAGAGGCCTAGTGGAGGGACTTCTGTTGCTGGGGGATTGGCTGGATGAGAACAGTACCATGAAAGAGTCACGTGAGTTAAAGAGTTAAAAATAAGAAAGCTTCTGCTTCCCAACTGATCTCTGGTAGCTGCCCAAGATGAATCTCAGAGAATCTCAAACTCGGCAATAGATGTCATTATCCTCTTTGTGGCAGGTTCAGTCATGTGCCATCACACTTCTCTGAGTTCATAGGCCTCATGGCTACCTCTCTCTTTTACCTATGTGCCTTTACTCATGTTCTGTCTAGAACTCTCTCTCCTGTCTTTGGCTAACTCCTCCTTATTCTTCAGGTTTCACCTTAGTCATTTATCATTGCAAGAAACTTGAGACTTCCCTGCCCCAGTCCTCTTTACTCCCCCATCATTGCACTACTTATAAAATACTGTAACTGCTTGCTTGCTTTTCTGTATTTCAGACTAGATATTAACTAGAAGTTCCATAAGCTATCTCCAGCCTTAACACTGTGCCTGGCCCCATGAATATCTGCTGAATGATGGCAAGGTGTTGTCCAGCACCAGGTGTGGAGGCCATGTGTATTCCTGTCCAAACAGAGAATTTCTCCAACCCCTTGAGGTCTCCTGATGACAGAAGAGGAGGCTCAGCAGCAAGGTGCTTTCCAGCATTTAGGCCAAGATCAGAACATTTTGAGTCTGCTGTGTGGCCTGACCACTCACCTGACTGCAGACTCCCTCTTCCTGGTGGCGTCTGTGATGTGCACAGGGAGGGTGTTGGCAGAGAGGGAAGCAAGGCCACTCAGAGAACGACTCCTTGGCAGGGGAGTGGCAGATGGGGAGTCCTGGAAGACATGAAAGCTGGTATTGGTGGGATGGCATATGTGATTAGTTTCTGTCTTAGCTAGGATTCAATTTCAGAGAAGGGCTAGTCAGACGGAGCATCTTCATTTTTTCCCTAGGAATAAGCTAGGATAATGAGATCTCAAGTTTAGTAACCATGCTAAGACTTGGATATTAATCCAAAAGTTTTTAGTCAAATAAGAAGAGTTCTTTGGAGTTGGTATAGGGACGTAACCATTGCCGTCCAGTCAGTGCTGACTCATAGCAACCCTACAGAACAGAGTAGAACAGCTCCATAGGGTTCCCAAGGGGCAGCTGGTGGATTTGAACTGCCGACCTTTTTGTTTGCAGCCATATATCTTAACCACTGCGCCACCAGGGTTCAAAAAAAGTACATGATAAATTCCTTCTGGATTTAGGACATTAGCTTTCCTAAGGAGACTCACTGCGACCCTGTAGGACAGAGTCGAACTGTCCGATAGAGTTTCCAAGGAGTGCCTGGTGGATTTGAACTGCCGACCTTTTGGTTAGCAGCCACCAGGGTTTGCAAAGGCATTCGACTGTGTGGATCATAACAAATTATGTATAATATTGAGAAGAATGGGAATTCCAAGGGGAAGTCAGCACAACTGGGCTAAACCAAAGCTAAGAAGTTTCCTGAATACAATCAAACACTTTGAGGGATACAGTAGCAGGGGTAGGTGTCTGAGGACCATGCTTTCAGGGGACATCGAGGTCAACTGGCATAACAAAGCTTATTAAGAAAATGTTCTGCATCCTAGTTTGGTAAGTGGTGTCTGGGGTCTTAAAAGCTTGCAAGCGGCCATCTAAGATGCATCAATTGGTCCCAACCACCTGGAGTAAAGGAGAATGAAGAACACCAAAGACACAAGGAAAGTAGAAGCCCAAGAGACAGAAAGGGCCACATAAACCACAGACTTCATCAGCCTGAGACCAGAAGAACTAGATGGTGCCCGGCTACCACCAATGACCGCCCTGACAGGGAACACAACAGAGAGTCCTGGATGGAGCAGGAGAAAGGTGGGGTGCAGAACTCAAATTCTAGTAAAAAGACCAAACTTAATGGTCTGAGACTGGAGGAACCCCAGAAAGCATGGCCCCTGGATTCTCTATCAGTCCAGAACTAAAACAATTCCTGAGGCCAACTCTTCAGACATGGATTGGACTGGACTGTGGGACATAAAGTGATACTCGCGAGGAGTGTGCCTCTTAGCTCAAGTAGATACAAGAGACTAAACGGGCAGCTTCTGTCCGGAGGTGAGATGGGAAGGCAGAGAGGATTAGGAGCTGGTTGAATGGACATGGGGAATCAGGTGGAAAGGAGGAGTGTGCTATCACAGTATGGGGACAGCAATTAGAGTCACATAACAATTTATGCATAAATTTTTGTATGGGAAAAAATAAAAAATAATAATTAAAAAAAAAAAGAATGGGAATTCCGGAACACTTAATCGTGCTCATGAGGAACCTGTACATAGATCAAGAGGCAGCTGTTCGGACAGAATAAGGGGATACTGTGTGGTTTAAAGTCAGGAAAAGTGTGCGTCAGGGCTGCATCCTTTCACCATACCTATTCAATCTGTATGCTGAGTAAATTATCCGAGAAGCTGGACTACACGAAGAAGAACGGGGCATCAGGATCGGAGGAAGACTCATTAACAACTTGCGTTATGCAGATGACACAATCTTGCTTGCTGAAAGTGAGGAGGACTTGAAGCACTTACTAATGAAGATCAAAGACCATAGCCTACAGTACGGATTACACCTCAACATAAAGAAAACAAAAATCCTCACAACTGGACCAATAAGCACATCATGATAAACGGAGAAAAGATTGAAAAAGTTGTCAAGGATTTCATTTTACTTGGATCCACAATCAATACCCATGGAAGCGGCAGTCAAGAAATCAAAAGACACACTGCATTGGGCAAATCTGCTGCAAAAGACCTCCTTAAAGTGTTAAAAAAAATGATATCACTTTGAAGACTAAGGTGCACCTGACTCAAGCCATGGTATTTTCAATTGCATCCTATGCATGCAAAAGCTGGACAATGAATAAGGAAGACCGAAAAATTGACTCCTTTGAATTGTGGTGTTGGCAAAGAATATTGAATATACCATGGACTGCCAAAAGAACGAACAAATCTGCCTTGGAAGAAGTATAACCAGAATGCTCCTTAGAAGGATGGCGAGACTATGTCTCACATACTTTGGACATGTCAGGAGGGATCAGTCCCTGGAGAAGGACATCATGCTTGGTAAAGTACAAGGTCGGTGAAAAAGAGGAAGACCCTCAAAGAGATGGATTGACACAGTGGCTGCAACAATGGGCTCAAGCATAACAACGATTGTGAGCGTGGCGCAGGGCCAGGCAGTGTTTCATTCTGTGGTGCATAGGGTCGCTGTGAATCGGAACTGACTTGACAGCACCTAACAACAGCAATAACATAGGGATATAAGCAATTGATCTCAACTCCCTGCCTTCCAGACCTTGTTAGACTTATTTCTGCAAAATCCCTCTATAGAAACAGAAGGAAAGAAAGTGTTCTTGTGGTCTTAAGTTTATAGGAATTGTGGGCCTGCTCACAACTGAGCTGTATTTTAAAAAAAATTGAGACTGAAAAATGTCATGAGAAATGCCTTCCATTGAGACCTGGGCCCATCCCTGTATTTCAGGCCTCAGGCCCTGACCCTCCCACGGCCACCTGGGCTCTCACCTTCCTCCCTCCAGTGGCGTCAGCATCACCCCGCCGCTGAGTGTGACGCAGGTTGGCAGTTCTCAGCAAGAAGGGCTCGTTGCGAGTCACCTCTCGGGTTTCCCTTCTCTTGGCAGCTCTTCTCTGGAAGGCCTTATAAAGGCCTTCGTAGTCAGGAACAGTAGGATTCACCCGAGGCTGGAATTCAAAGTCAGTCTGCAGAAACCCCAGCTTTTCCTCCCGGGTTCGGGTGGCTGTTCGAGACTGTGGGTCCGGCCAGCTACTAGAGGAGGCAATAGGAGAGGAGGCCATCCGGAGCATGTCCAGGGCTCTCATTTGGATGCGGATTTTCCTGAAGAGTTCAGCTTCTGTGGAGAAAAAGTTGGTTGGTGATGGGTGAGGAGGGACCAAACCTCAAACCAAAAGGTTTGGAGAACTTTCCCCCTTTTAAACACTGGCAATAGTGTGCTGTAGCCAATTGTTAACTTCTTAGAAATTTTGCGAACCAGTTGATATCACGTGGGGAGCTTGAAATTGGCTACAGTGGGAGTATTTATACCACAGAAAATGGCAAACACTGCAAATTGGTCTCTTTTTTTTTTTTCTGTCTGGACAGCTGGTTAATAAAGGTTGGCCAGCCCACCACTACCTGTGTGCCATCCATGTTGTGGAAGCAACTAACCGTTTACGCTCACTGCGCACACCCTACACTTCCGTCTTCAAAGACTAAAAGCAGGAGGAAGTAGGCCAGACACCGCTCCTCCCCCAGGTTTCCACATCTTTCTGCATCTTAGAGGAAGGCCCTTCCAGCCACCCAACTGCCCAAGCCTATTTCCCGAATCATCCTTGACTCCTCCGTTTCTCATTGAATCAGTGAAAAGAAGATGGAATTCCCTGATGGCGCGGTGGCTAAGAGCTCAGCTGCTAACCAAAAGGTTGGCAGTTCAAATCCACCAGCCACTCCTTGGAAACCCTGTGGGGCAGTTCTACTCTGTCCTATAGTGTTGCTATGAGTCAGAACTGACTCAAGAGCAATGGGTGTAGTTCGGTTTTTTATAGTGGCTATAATCCCGTTTGAGAATGGGTTTTGTTATGTTAATGAGGCACTATTAGTGTAGGGTGTGTCTTAAATCAATCTCTTTTGAGATATAAAAGGGCAGATTAAGCAAGCAAGCAGAGATGGGGGGAAGATGGATGCCATGCCACATGAAGATCCCCAAGGAAGGAGAGAGAAAGAAAGCCTTCCCCTAGAGCTGGCACCCTGAATTCAGACTAAACTGTGAGAAAATAAATTTTTGTTTGTTAAAGCACCTACTTGTGGTATTTCTGTTACAACAGCACTAGGAAACTAAGACAGACCCCATGCTTCCCCCTTTAATTATTGCAAATGACTCATCACATTTGCAATTATTTGTCTATTATCTGTCTTCATCACATGTCTACAAACTCCATGTCTGTTTATTCACCACAGAACAGTGCCTGGTGCATGGCACATTACTGAATGAGTGAATAAAGCCCCAGTCCCTTATTCAGAGCTACACTGCTTGAAATGAGTAAATAATCATCCCTCCAGTAATTTCTGTGACTGACATTACCTCACCAGAATGAGGGAGAGTTTGGAGAGCTCTTCCCTGGGGAGCTGGCTGATGGTGGCACTGGCCTACGCTGGTCTTTGGCTGTCTCATTGGTTCTCTGCTCTTGCACTTGTGCAGAGGGCTTCATATCCACTGGGATGGGTGACTGAGAGAGTGGCCAACAGGATGAACCTTGGGGGCACTCCCTGTAGGATCTCTTACTCTCCGTTCCTTATGGGCTTTCCCCACTATATAGATAGACCTAAACCTACCCCATGGCCTACGCTGTGCTGTCCAGTGCAGCCTTTAGTGGGTCCACCTGAACAACTCATCTCCAAGCCAGTCTGACCCCTGAGCCCCGAGGAATCCCCACAGCACCTCTCAGTATAGGAGAGGCAGGAGGCAGTGAGGTGGCAAAGATGTCTGTACCCTGCAGTTTGTCCCCTAGGGCTGGCTCCAGAATAGACTTGGGGATCTTCTTGGTGGCTTTCTGCTTGGGGACCTTGGCCTGAACTGTGGCAGCCAAGTCCCGCTGTTGAGCAGCTTGCTTTCGTTGCTCCTCCTTCTCTAGGAAGCTGAAGGGCTTCAGGGAAGAGAGGAGCAGTTCCCTCCTCTTCTGTATTCCTGCCTGCCTGCGGGCCTCACTGCGCTCCATGATCTCCTGGTACAGGGGCAGGTAGACGTGTGCGGGCACAGGTTGTGCTCGGAACTGGCGGTGGCACTCGGCCTCCTCCTGGCCCTGCCTCTGGGCCTGCTGCCTCTTATGCTCAAAGGAGGAGGGTGAGGCCAGCCACTGGGCCTTTTTTCGGGCCTCGCGCAGAGTCATGTGGAATGGCTGGGGGACAGTGATGGATGAGGCCCAGGAACTGATGCTTCTGTGCTGGGAAGGGGGCCCGGAGATAGACGGTGGGCCGGGCCGAGCCCTGGGACTGTCCGAGGGAAGGGTGCTCAGGGAGCAGCGCCTTGTGGAGTCACACCTGGGAGGAGAAAACAGATCGGTGTATGGAGGAGAGAGCAGCCAGGATCCTCCTCCCCACTCCTCCCCTCCCAGTAGATCTCAGCTGGCTTCTCAGCCTAACATCACAGCCCCACAGACCTCTACCCTGCACCCTTCCCAACCAGGCCTCCCTCCTTCCCTCAGGCGATCAAACAGCTCTAGTGGGAAGTCTCTTCATAGAATTGGTCTAGAAATTGCCACTTTGCACTCTCATATCTTCATATGAGACATAGTATAGTGCAATGGTGCAAAGCAGGGTTCTAGAGTTAGACAGACCAAGGTTCAAACCTTGCTTCAAGCAATTACCAGCTATGTGACCTTGAGAAAGTCTAAATTTCCTCAACTGTAGAATGGCAAAAATCATATCCACTTACAGGGTTACTGGAGCCCTGGTAGCCCAGTGGTTATGAGTTTGAGTTTGGCTGCTAACCAAAAGGTCAGCAGTTCAAATCCACCAGCCGCTCCTTTGAAACCCTATGGGGCAGTTCTACCTTGTCTTCTGGTGTTGCTATGAGTCAGAATCTACTCGACGGCAACAAGTTGGTTTTTTTTTTTTTTAACAGGGTTATTGGGAGGAGGAAATAAATATTAAATGATACAGGTATACACGCATAAAGCAGTGCTTGGCCAAGATAAATGTACAATAAATGGTAGCTAGTACCGTTGTTTTTATTCTTGGGGAGGTAGTGTGTTTACGAAAGGCATGTCTTTAATCAATTCCAATGCTTCAGGTGACTAAGGGTCACCCAAAGTGATTAAGGATTGCTGGGTAGGAACTGGAACACTTGGTTGGACCTGGAAACAGATCCTGAGTTGGAGCCTGGCTAAGTGGCAACCTGAAGAAGTGACCTTGGCTTTGCAGAGGAACGAGATAAGGCCCAGAGACATGACATGACTTGCAAAGTTGTAGAGTGGGGTAGCTGTTGTACCACAGTGCCTTACCTCATAGACTGGGAACCCTGGACCTGTGGCTTTCCCCTGCCCTTGTCTTGAAAGAAACTCTCCAGGTCCTCGTTATCTTCAGAGAGGTTCCCATCACTGTCTGGGTCAGACTGATAAAGGGATTCCAACAGGCACCACCTGCCTTTCTGCGTTAGTACCTCTAGGCTCTTGTAAAAGCTCCCAGTTGAGTCAGAAGTAGAATCCATCTCCTCCTCTGGACTGAGGAACTCATCAAGTTTGCCAGCCCTGGGCAAGACCAGCATCTCCCCAGACAGCTCCTCTTCTACTTCTGTGTCTGAGGAGGATTTGGGAGGAGATATCTAAAATGAAACAGAAATAGATTGTGGATCAAACTATAATTTCAAATTCATTCAAAATATAACTGTTAATATGAATGAAACTGGAGTACATTATGCTGAGTGAAATAAGTCAATCACAAAAGGACAAATATTATATGAGACGTCTATTGTAAAAACCCATGAAAAAGTTCACACACAAAATGTAACTATCTTTGTTGGTTACCAGGGATGGGAGGGGTTGGGGGGAAATATTAAATAGGCAATAGATAAGTGGTATCTTGGGTAAAGGGTGAGACAGTACACAATACAGGGGAAACTAGCACTAGCACAACTTGTACAAGGAAAGGTCATGGAAGCCCCATAGACACATCCAAACTCCCTGTGGGACTGAATTGCTGGGCGGAGGGCTGTGGGGACCATGGTCTCAGGGAACATCTAGCTCAACTGGCATGACACAGCTTATAAAGATAATGCTCTACATTCTACCTTAGTGAGTAGTGTCTGGGGTCTTAAAAGCCTGTGAGCAGCCATCTAAGATACTCCACTGGTCTCATCCCTTCGGGAGCAAGGGAGAATGAAGAGAACAGGATACAAGAAAAAGATTAGTCCGAAGGACTAATGGACCACAGCTATCAAGGCCTCCACCGGACTGAGTCCAGTACAGCTAGATGGTACCCGGCTACCACCACTCACTGCTCTGACCAGGATCACAACAGAGGGACAGAGCTGGAGAAGGATGTAGAGCATAATTGTAACTCACACACACAAAAAAGATCAGATTTACTGGTCTACAGGAGACTGGAGAAACCCCAAGAGTATGGCCCCCAGACACCCTTTTAGCTCAGTGGTGAAGTTACCTCCGAGGTTCACTGTTCAGCCTGGGAGTGGACAGCCCCGTAAAACCAAATGAGACTAACGAGGTACAGGAGTCCAGTGACAAGGGCCAGAAGGCAGAAGGAGACAAGGAAGCTGGTGATAGGGAACCCAAGGTTGAGTAAGGATATTGTTGATGTGCTGTGAGATTGTTAACCGTTGTCATAGGGCAACATGTGTAGTAACTGTTAAATGAGAAACTATTTTGTTCTGTAAGCCTTCATCTTAAGTGAGAATAACAGCACAATTGGAAGAGCGTAGTCAATGTCACTGAACTGTGCATGTAGAAACTTTTGAAATGCTTTATCTTTGGCTATGTGTATTTTCACCAAAAAAAAAAGGTTGAGAAGTTTGAGGGTTGATATGTTGTGGGGTTGTTAACCAATGTCATAAAACAACATGTGTACTACTGTTTCATGAGAAACTATTTGTTCTGTAAGCCTTCACCTAAGTACAATAAAAAAAAAATATATAACTGTTAATCTCACTTTGAATAAGCCTGTGGATATTAGAAGCTGGGGCAGAAAAAAGAGAAGTAAGATGTGTTCTTTGCTCTAATGAAATTTCACAACCTGGTACTTGGGGGTGTTCTTGGTTGAACGGCAGGAGAGAAAGTCAAGAGCTAAAGCTGGATCCCTAATCCATGCAGTACAGAAAGCATTTACAGAGTATCTACTCTGCACCAGGCATTCTGCCCCCTGCACACCAGGAATCCTACCCATGACCTTGCCACACTCTGGGCCTGTGCTGCTTAGGTTTTACCTGCTTGTTGCCCATCCTCCTTCTCCTGCTTCCTTTCTGCACCTCTACTTTTCTCATATTCTAGCTAATTTGCACTCTGTCACTAGGAATGGATGACAGCATGGTCTAGCTGAAAGAGCAATGTCCTAGCTTTTACTCATTCATTCATTTAGAACATATTTATTGGGTGCCTAACAGGTACTAGGCATTTGGCTGAGAACAAGACAAACAAGGTCCTTCCTCTCATGAAGCTAACTTTCTAGTAAGGGGAGACAGACAATAAACAAACAAACTGATGATGAGTTCAGTGAAAACTATAAAACACTGTGATGTTATAGAGAGTGATAGAGTGGCTATGGAAAGTTCTTCCGTTGATAAAGCCCCTCAGATAAAGATCACCAGGAATGTACCTATAATCAAAGTTAGGCTTATTAATTTGTTGCAGCATATGATGGGAAGCCAGGGGGAATGGAAGGAGGGCTTTCACTGAGAGGGTGGGGGAGGGGCTTTCTATAGGATTGGCTTGTGCGAAATCATTCTGAGGGTTAGAGGAAGCAGGGATCAACTTTGAATTGCTTTACTGGTTGATTCATTGCTGTCATGAAGTTGAGACAGTTTAGTAAGCGGGTGATTGAGCAATTTTTATTCAAAAGGTGGGGAAAACAAATCGGTTAAGGAATTGGTAAGTAAGCACAATCATTCAGAAGAAGGGGTATTAGTAATTTTACAGCTAAGGTGTGGCCCTGGAAGAAAAACTGTTTTCTGTTGCTCTTGCTGCTGGCGTTATCTGTGTGTGCTACAGTCTGAATTTTACTTTCTCAGTCATGGACTGATTTTTATCTTCCCACTGTGGAGGAATTTTGGATTGACACCTGACTGATGAGAAGGAGCCAGCCTTGTGAAAATCTAGGGTAAGAAGGTTCTGGGCCCAAGAAACAGCAAGTGCAAAGGCCTTGAGGCATGGTCCTGAGACAGGAACAAACTTGGCTATTGGAGAGGTAGAAAGACAGCCAGTATGGTTGGAGCACCAGAGGGTTGGAGCTCAGAGAGGCAGGCAAGGGGCCAGGATGGGGCTGCAGAGGCCCAGTGGTTGCAGCTGGTACAGCAGTTGGGGGCAGACCACTGCAGTCCTCTAGGTGATACCCGATGACAGTTTCTAGGTTCTCTAATACTGGATAATACTGAAAGAACTGTAATACTGGAAAGAACACCATTACCGAGTCAAAGGTATGGATGTGCTCTAACCTTGCTTTGCTACTAAACAGCATGTAACTTTGGGCAAGTGCTTTTTTTTTTTTAATAACAATTTTATTGAGATATCATTCACATACCATACAAGTCATATAATTCACCATTGAAAGTGTACAATTCAATGGTTTTTAGTATATTTACAGAGTTGTGCAACCATCACCACAATCAATTTTTGAATATTTTCATCATCCTGAAAGAAACCCATACTCTTTAGCAGTCACTCCCAATTCCCCCTAAGCCCCACTCCCCTAACCCTAGGCAACTGCTAATCTACTTTCTGTATCAATGGATTTTGGAAAAATTTCTTAATCTCTCTGTGCCTCAGTTTTCTCATCTACAAAATGGGTACAACAACTATACTATTGGCCATAGAGTAAAGAGGAATAAGCGAAAACCAAGCGCCCTTGCTACGGTCCTATGAACAGCCTGATTTAAGTCTCAAACTGTCCCAGAGTCAGACCCCGCTTTCTGGCCACTAAACGCTACCTATTTTAATCTCGCAACCCTCCGTGCCACGCCCCTGCCTGTCTCCCAGGCAACGTCCAACAGTGTCCTCTCTCAGGGATTTCCTTCTGGAGCGCAGTGCTTCTTCCTCCCCCTTCTCTTTTCCTCCTCACCTGACCGCTCCACTCCGAGCCGCCGGGGGCTCCCGCAGGCCTCCCCACTGTCATCTTCTCAGTCAGGCAGAAGCAGAAGCGGCGGTGACTGTGGCGGCGTCTAGGGCAGTGACAGCGGCAGTGGCGACGCTAGCAACGTGGAGTCAGGTTCCGCCCCCTTTCTAGTTTTGGCTTTTGATTGGTGAATGCTATAAACCAGTTTCCTTGTCAAGGGGTTTGTAGTCCATCCCCTACTGTGGACTGTCAGACGCCAGTGTGAAAGACCAGTCTCGAAATAATCCCACCCAAGGAGGCAAAGATCATTTTCTGATTGGTCTAGTCCCTTCGCAAGTTTTAGTTCCGGTTCAGAGTCCTTGGCTGAAGTGGCACGTGATTGGAGAGTTCTGCTCCGGAAGCGCTACTGGAGGCGGGCCTAGTGGGGACGTGCGCCGAATACCTCGCAAGTCAGCCCAGCACCATGGCGGCCCGGGTCGCTGTGAGCCGGTGGGGAGCTTGGCCTGTAGCTGGACGCAGAGGCCCGCTGGTCCCCTGCCGGAGGTGGTCCGGCGCCCCGGCAGACACCGTGTACGATGTGGTGGTGTCGGGCGGAGGCCTGGTGGGCGCTGCCATGGCCTGTGCCTTGGGTAAGCGCCTCTCCAGGCCGGTAGTGGCGGGGACCTGGGCGGCGGAGGGGCAATGAGAACCATGGGAATGCCGGCAAGGTTTGTCCGAAGATTTAAAGTGCTGGATCTTGTGGTCCAGCCCCTGCCTTGAGGCACCCCGGGGAGCGCGTTCGGCCCCTCAGGGTCAGAAGCGGTCAAAGGTGGGAGGAGCCTTAGGAGTCATTCCAACGCGTGGGAAAACTGGCCTGGCCAAGAGTGCTGTTTTGGGGCACAGTTCTAAGGCATCAGGCATTGTCCCATTGCTCTACGCTTAAAAAAAAAAAAAAAACTTTATTGAGGTTAATTTGCATACCATGAAGTTTACCCGTTTAAAATAGACAGTGTAATGGTTTTTAGTATAGTCACAGTTATGCAACCATAATCACAATAAATTTTAGATCATTTTCATAATTCTCCCCGAAAAAAATCTAATCCATTAGCAGTCACTCCGCATTTCTCACACTCCCCTTAGCCTCTGATAACCACTAATCTACTTTCTGTCTCTATGCATTTGCCTATTCTAGATATTTCATATAATTAGGATCCTACAATATATGACCTTTTGTGACTGGCTTCTTTCACTAAGCATAATGTTTTCAAGGGTTCATCCATGTCAAAACATGTATCAATACTTCATTCTTTTTTTTGGCTGAATAGTATCTCACTGTATGGGTATGCCACAATTTGTTTATCCATTCATCAGTTGATGGCCATTTAGGTTGTGTCAACTGTTGGCTGTTATGAATAATGCTGCTATGGCTATTCATGTTCAAGTTTGTTGTGTGGACATAAGTTTTCATTTCTCTCAGGTATATACCTGGGAGTGGAATATGGTAACTGTATGTTTAACGTTTTGAAGAACTACCAAACTGTTTTCTGAAGTGACTGCACCATTTTACATTCCCATATGAGGACTCCAATTTCTCCACATCCTCACCAATACTTATTATTGTCCGTCTTTTTTATTATAGCCATCCTAGTGGGTGTGAAGTCCTATCTCCTTGTGGTTTTGATTTGCATTTCCCTAATGACTAGTGATGTTGAGAGAGCATCTTTTCATGTGCTTATTGGCCATTTGCATATCTTCTTTGGGGAAATGTCTACTCAGATCCTTTGCCCAATTTTAAATTGGGTTATTTGTCTTTTTATGATTGATTTGTAAGAGTTCTTTATGTAGTCTGGATACAAGTCCCTTATCAGACAAATGATTTGCAAATATTTTCTCCCATTTTGTGGGCTATCTTTTCACTTTCTTGATGGTATTCTTTGAAGCACAAAGATTTTTAACATTGATAAAGTCTGGTCTACCAGTCTTACCACTTGTGCTTTTGGTGTCGCATCTAAGAAAGCATTGCCTAACCCAAGGTCATGAAGATTTACTCCTGTCTTTTAAGAGTTTTATCTCTTATATTTAAGTCTACAGTCTACTTTGAGTTAAATTTTCTGTTGTTGTGAAGTAAGGACCACGTTTTTACCTGTACAATTTAAGCTACTCCACTGCCTTGTGAAGTAGATATTATTTTTCTGTATTTTACTAGGGGGAAACTTGCTTAGCAATGTTAAGTAAGGGCCAGAGTCTCACAGTCAGGCAGTAGCAGAGTCAGAATTTGAACTCAGGCCATCTTTTGCTTTTAACTACTGTACAGTGACTTCCATAGATTGAAATTTCTGCTCTAACAAATTAAAGGTCAAGAGCTAAAGGAGCCCTGAACCCAGGTGGTGCAGTGGTTAAAGCGCTTGGCAACTAACCAGAAGGTTGGTGGTTCGAACTTGCCAGCCACTCCATGGGAGAAAGATGTGACAGTTGGCTTCCATAAAGATTTACAGCCTTGGAAATCGTATGGGACAGTTCTGCTCTGTCCTGTAGGGTCACTATGGGTCGGAATCAACTTAATGGCAGTGGATTTAGTTTTTTGGGGTTAAGGGAG